CCCGCCCACAGGCCCGCCCACACCGCAGCTTCCGCCCCGCCCACACGCAGCTCCCGCCTACACGCCCGATGGAAGCGGAATATCATCCGCTGACACCGGGACCGGCAACAGCACGCCGCCTTCCGGGACCTCGTCCAGTCCTCCCCCAGCCAGGTAAGACATCCCCCGAAAATAAGACCTAGGTGTCTTTTTTCGTGCAAAAAAAATAAAATAAGACACTGTCTTATTTTCGGGGAAACACGGTAGATAAGGGGGAAAATAGGATTTATGCTCTTAACACAGTATTTTTGTCCTTACTACTTTTCTTGGAGTCAATTGGGGGGCACAGGAATTCAGATAGTCAGGTTATACTGAAGCCTACAGGAAGATTGGACAAAAACTGAATTCCATGAGTCCATGAGAGAGCTGGTGGATTCCATGCAAACTTTTTGGATTAAAAATTATATTTAAGCCCAAGATTGAGCGACTGACCCCATTTGGAACAGCGAGAACATTTGAGTAAAAAAAAAAGCCAACGAAAACGGTCATGGGAACAATGGCAATAACCCCTTGGCTCAAAAGATATGCCAAAGCAGCATGGGAGGTAACAGCACTAGCAATATCCGTGAACTGTCCCAGTCTTAGGAAGGCTCACACCACATCAATAAGAACGGATTATGATGCTCAGACATGGTAAGTCCTCAGAGACTTACCATGGTCCTAGACCTGGAGAGTGCTCTGCAGCTAACAGTACACAAGAGTCTGAAAAGTTCTACAGGCAGAGCCCACTACCTTAAGTTGGCATTCCAGGTGATCTTTGCCCTATGGGTATACTCACAACAAGTGAGTCATCAGAGACTGGGTCACAGCAGAGGTCCAGAGCCGTGGCTGTGGCTCAGAACCTAGAGAACTCTGTGGCTAACAGTACACAAAGGTCTGGAAACAGCCACAAGCAGTGCCCAGTGACTGAAGGCCCCATTCCAGGCAAGCCCCACAACATTCAGTCCAGCCTCCAAAGCATCATCAGAAAACACCGACCAAGTAGCTGCATAAAAAAGACTGGAGCTTATAAGCATGCATATGAAGTCTTGATTGAAGCAAAAAGATCTTAACTACTTCCGGGCCGGCCGTAGTAGCGCTGACTGGCGGAACGGACGGGGGAGAGGCGGGTACAGCTGGCTCTGCCTCTAGATAGGCAGAGCCAGCTGTCACTCACGCAGCTGGGCGGATCCCGTCATCTACGTCGGGATCCGCTCCATGTGCGGCGTCTCAGTATACCGCGAGCTGTAGCTTGCGGTATACTGAGCTTAGGGTAACGGGAGGACGCTAGTTTGTGTCCTCCCGTTACCCTAAGGAGAACTATGGGGAAAAACACTGACCCCATAGTTCTCCTTTAAGAAAAAATAAACATGGGTAAACTTTTCTCATCCTCCTAGGACACTAGCAAAAACCTAGGCATGCTGGAAATGGGAGGGGGTTATACCAGGCATGTCCACGGTATTTGCCAACATCCAATTGCTCCTGTAGGCAGCAGTATAACCCAATCGTCTTAGAATGACAAAATCCTGTGTTCATTCCTAATGAACAGGAATGAAATCCTATCCTGCATCCTTGGGACAGTAATTCAGATACAGACACCAGTTTTTTTTGTTAGTCTGATATTGTGAAGTTAAACCCAGATCATCAGAATTCACTGGTAGGTGGCATTGTTCTTGGAAACAAGTGCAGCACTCTGCAGAAAATTAGGAGTACATTTACTTTATACCCAGCTGCAAATCTAATTGTACACAGCACTTTGAGATTAAGCATATGCACAATACCTCACAGATAATTCAATTTAGAGGTTGCTAAAATGCCAAGACAGCAGAGTAAACCAAAAAGATATATATATATCTATCTATATACACACAGAAAAAAAAAAAGTATAAATAAAGACCTTATTCCTGTGGGAGTTAAAGTTTCATATGGAAACATTTCCTTCAGAATATCCCAGTCTTCTTTTTCTTCAGTAAATGTCTTCTCCACAATCTAAAGAAAAGAAACAAGCAGTTTACAGAAACAACCCATTAACAGCAGAGTCTAGAGCCACTGAAACCCAAATACAAATGTGACTGAAGGAAAACATTACTAGTATCACCCAGTGATCTAAAAGGAAATATCTTCCCTGTTTTTTAGGCGTTACAAACTTTGTTATTTTCAACTGTTTTGTCTTTTTTGGAGTCTCCAAACGGTGCTGTCCAAAGTTGCTGGTTTCCTTCAAAGTGAACAATAATTGTTTATTTGTATGGCAGGATTCCAGCTAAAAATAAAACCTAAGAGAATTAAACAAGCATCACCTCTATCAGGGCAGTGTTTAGAAGATCACTGGAATCTGCACGACCAACAATTTTAATGCCATCGACCTTATTATTAAGGGATTCGGCATCCGTTTGCTGTAGCAAATTCAAATGCTGCAAATGGCACAATAAAAGCAAATATGTTACATGAATCTATATTTAAAGTGTGGCCTGCATAGGTTTCATATTAGCAACCCTAAGGGGGATAGTTTACAGGTGTTTATTCCAAGAAACAAAACAAAAAAAACCCCCAAAAACCTCATCTTTCTCTGTGGCTATAAAACTACAATGATGGTAAGGAAAAACCATATACTGTGAACTTTGTAACAAACCATCGATAAATGTGCAAAATATCTAATCTGTTAAATGTTTCTAGCACACAAATTACCCATCATTTAGGAATATTTACTTTTTCATTGATCAGCTGTTTCTTTGGAGTCCTTCTTAAAAACTCTGATAACTCACTGAATGATCGCAGAGCGCTTGTGTGCTTGAAAGTCTCAGTCACATGAGCAACCTGATGAAATTCAAAATAAGAATATACTGCATTAGCCTATAAATATAGGGAACATTCATACGTTTCCAATTTAAGCAGCATCATCAAAAACCTGTAGGATAATTTAATTCTATTTAAAGACAATATGTATATTTACTGGAGCCTGGTTGCTTGAAGGCCACATGGTTTCTGTTACTGGAAAGGTCTCCGATACTGGATCATCATCATCTGGCAGTAGTTCTGCAGCTACCACCTAATATTTGGGGAAAAAAGTGAGAAAATAAAATAAAAACATTAAGTACTGGTAATTTTAATTAATTAGATTTCCATTACCCTTCCCCAAGGCATGGAAGTAAAATAACTCTGCAATCACCCTTTTACTTGGTGTTCTTCGTACTACTCCTGATGACTCTCTAGAAATAGAGTGTACACGTCCAACCTTTTCAGGCTCCAGTGTCTTCACGGGTTCAAAATTGCCATCTCCAGAAATGTTCTATTTAAGTGTCAAATATATGTGAAGTGAGATGCTTTCCAGTGCAAATTAACTATGAACACACACACACACACACAGTGACTGAGGACACCATCAGTATGTGTTTAATATAAACCAGAAACAGCAAGTCAGTGAAATTATTAGATGGCTCTAAAAAGCAAGCAAGCAAGCAGTAAAAACATAGCAAACCCTTGGTCATAATGAAAGCCAAATACTACTCCCAGTGTGAAACTCAAGAGAAATGAAAAAATATATATATATATATATATAATTTGTTTTACACATAAAAGTGTGGATAATTCCTCAATCTCAGAAACAAAATCATCTGGAAGGAGCCTGTTTTTTCTTTTAACATTTAATTCTGATACCACTTCAGTATCTTCCAGTGTCTGAAAGCAAGACAATAAAGCTGACAAATACGTTGAGGAAAAAGCATGTGTTTTTTTACATAGCCTAAAACTATTCATTTAGGGCAAGGCCTCACGATACCTCAGAACACAGCCAGACTAGAATTCTACCAAGAGACACAATCTGGTCTACGACTCTACACAATGTCTCCAGACAGGTGGTGCTCTGGGAAAGTATGCAGCAGTTTTAATGTGCCAAGTAACTCGCTTGTTGCACCATCCAAACAACATTTTGGAAAATATATTGGCTAAGTGTAGTTTTTTAAGATATACAGTTAGCATTTAAGATATGGTAAATCAACTCAGTCAGCACAAATTAGGCTACAGGGCCACATCTCTGATTCCATAGCTATCTCTAAAAGGCACACGTCAAGGTTGTCCACTTTCCCCACTGCTTTTTGCATTAGCGATAGAACCCATAGCGATTGCGATCCGTGCTAATGTTAATATTAAGGGAGTGAGCTGTGGTAGGCAGGAGCATAAGTGTGCTTTATTTGCGGATGACTTGCTCCTGTTTGTCACATCACCTTTGACCACACTCCCTAATGTCCTGTCATTGTTGACTCAATTTGCTGGGGTATCTGGATTGCGGGTCAATGCATCCAAATCATTGGCTCTTAATATCAATATCCCCCAGGAATTGTGGTCTCGGTTGTCGGAACATTTTGATTTTAATTGGTCCACGGAGGCTTTGCAATATCTAGGGATTAAACTTGCACCTGTCTTTTTACAACTATATAAGAAAAACTATATACCCCTGTTTCACCAACTCCGGGAGGATATGTCTAGATGGGACTCCTGTAATTTGTCATGGCTGGGTCGCATTCATGCACTCAAAATGACGCTGCTCCCCAAGATCCTATATTATTTTCAGGCTCTACCCATAGCTATACATAAGCCAGATCTTTTGAAATTTCAATCTTTAATTATTAAATTTGTTTGGCATGGAAAACATCCTAGACTCTCGAAAAATGTACTGCACCGTTCTAAACGGACAGGAAATTTGGGTGTCCCCAATTTCTTGCAATACTACAAGGCAGCGCGGGTGGCTCAGCTTTCCTCTGTCTATGACCAGGGATACACACCAGATTGGATCCTAATGGAATCTCTCTCTGCCTCGGGTACACCAATTGATGCCTTGAAGTGGATGTCCCTGAGGCAGAGGCCGTTCATTATGGCCCCGACTTTGTCCTGTTCTATGATGGTATGGGACTCATTCCGAAGGGGAGGTGGGTTGGTGTCGCCTCGCACTCCTCTGGCTCCCGTCTTCCACAATCCTAATTTCCCCCCAGGGGGATCTCCTGGAGCGTTCCATTGGTGGCAAGACAAAGGTCTGTACCGCATAGCACAATTCTTTAAAGGTCGCAAGCCACTTACTTTGACCTACTGTCGGGAGGCTTTACACATGCCATCTTCGGAATACTTTCATTACAGACAATTGTTACATTTTTTAGGTTCTTTGAAAACACCTAACGTGATGTCTCCCTTTAGAACAACCTACGAACAGAGGTGTCTTGGAGCTGGGGGCCAGAGGGGGGGGGGGAAGAGTTTCGCTGCTCTATTCCCTCCTGGTAGACTCTGAAAGTAAATTACCCTATATGTTAGCTTGGGAACAAGACCTGGAAAGGGTTATTCCTCTGGAGGTCTGGCATCAATGTTGTTCCCGTGTGTCATCAGGTTTACTTAATATTTCACTAATAGAAGCTAATTATAAGGTTTTATCTAGGTGGTATATGGTCCCTGCCAGACTAGCGAGAATATACCCAGAGGTTTCTCCTCTTTGTTTTAGGGGATGTGCACACTCTGGCACGATATATCACATATGGTGGGAATGCCCCAAATTGAGACCTTTTTGGAACCGGCATTATGCTCTAATATTTAGGGTTACTGGGGTGAGAGTCCCACGAGATCCCCAATATGTGTTGCTGAATTGCCCGATTCCAGGACTGTCTAAAGCTTTGGATAAATTAATTACTTTCTTTCTGTTGGCAGCCAAAATAACCATAGCTAGGGCTTGGAAAACACCAACAATTCCATTCCACTTGGTCAAACAAAAAATGTCGTGGATTATGGTCCATGAGAAACTTCACAGCATCCTCCAAGATAATAAAAAAAAAAGTTTTGAATTGACCTGGACCCCCTGGTTGTTATATACAGAGGTGCTGGAAACCGGGTAATTTTCATTGTACAACTTTTCTGGAATTTTTTTATCTGGGGACTATGTTTAAGTAGATGTTGGGCTATTTGGTCGGGGATGGAGCTACTCTTTTCGGACTCTTAAGCTGTTCTGCTTCCTCTAGTATCCATTTCCTCTTTTTGTCTGTTTTTTTTTTTTCCTTTATGCTCGCATATGTGAGCCGTTTAGTGCATTGATGTTGGACAGAAAGTCTTCTATTGATATAGATATGGAGGAGATCATAACAAATGTCTGCTTCAGACATAGGCAGATCCCTAGGCCAGATATTCCTCTGACTGTTCTGATTTTTGATTTTGGTGATGGGGGATACATTGGCAAGAATAGGTGGACAGATATGTTCTGTTGTACAGAACTATTATATATTGTGTGTATGGCCTCTAGTGATCCCCTCCTACTACTTGATTATGCTAATGTGGAAGAAACTGTAATGCAATTGTATGCTATACTGATTGTGCATCATGTGCTATTTTATTGTTTTATTATACTTTTGGAAAAATAAAATACTTTGAAAGTTAAGATATGGTAAATCAGAATATTAAAGAATGAAAACTATTTTTAGAGCATGATGTTTAAATATATGTTTAGCTACAAATTCATTGGAATCTAGGACTAGTTTTAAAAACTTATGCCAGACTTTGGTTAAGGCACCTTTTTCTTTAAAGTAACACATGGGACAGGAGCTAGCTATAAAGCATTTCTATACACAAATGTAATAATAGCACCATATACAGCATTTAACATTTTTCAAAAATTCAGTTGTACTATCAATATTAGCACGCAAGCCAGATCCAGTGTGCAAAAGACTTTAAACATTCTAACACACCTGTTATCCTGTTATTAAGGGGTGCATTCTACTATGCTGTGGTGTACTTCACCTCTGCTCAGTGTCAGTTATATAAACTTATAGGGCGGCGACTAATTTTCATAATCAATTTGTTTTTCAGTTAAATCGGATAAAAAAACAAATACCATCCTTAAAATAAAACACATAAATGCAGTGTTACAAAGTTTATTTCAGAATAAAACTGCATGCACATTTTTTTGCAATTGCGGTACCGTACGTTCCAGTGCGGGCGATAACACTGCGGGTGGGAGGCGTGTTTGGGGTGTCACTGAAATTAATGGCACTGCAACATACCACCCGCAGCAGAATGTGTAAGGCCGAAAAAGGACTCTTTGAAAAAAAAAAAAACTTTACCACTAATAATTGTATTGTAAACACATGGTGCTTGAATAGCTTCAGCCAGGGAATGACAGCTGCCAGTGGCAAGAACCTGCAGACGGCAGCTGAATGTAAATATAGCAGGGTGTGGGCTATGTCAAATTGCAATAGCCAATAACAGGCTGGCTATTGCACCAGCCCACTGCTTGCTCTCAATCAGCAGAGGAGGGACCTGAAGGAGAAAGTGCAACGGCTAACAGTTTCAGACTGCTGTATTAGCTTAGAAAGAAAATACAGGAAATGGCATATAAAAACAAGATTCCTTATTTCAGCTATTTTGAGCAACTTCTTACTCTGCCAAATTATTATTTATTACAGGTATTTAGAAACTGCCAACTATGGACACAGCACTTTACATACTGAAACCAGAGTACCCGGAGAAAACCCACAGAAGCGTGGGACAACATGCAAACTTCAAGCAAATAGTCAAGAATTGAACAGACTGGTGCCTAGCAGAACTCTCATCATCCCACCACTCTGATGAAATAAAAAGTAAAAAAAAAAAAAAAAAGGGATAGTGCACTTATCTTTTTCACCCACCCAACCCTCCTTCAATATGATTGGATTATACTATATTCTTACTTACTGTAAAACAGTACTATCCATAGATCTGATCGATGCAATCAGCTCATCACAGCATAGCAATTGGCTGAAATTGTCATACCCAATTCAAGTTCTACTGGCATATGTGATCTCCATTCATTTGGAAAGTTAGTCAACATTCAGAAAGCCCGACAGACTTCCATGTGAATTGAAGGTCCCAGAATGCATGTGCATAACAGCACAGAGTCATTCTGAAGACTTCATACAAAGTCTATGCAGTGCTGAGTAAGCTGCAGTAAATATCAGTGCACAGCGGTGCTGCAGATAAACATGTGCTATGCTCAGATTCCTAGTAGAGCAGCAACAATTAAAAGCATTAAGAATGCAAATATTTGTTAAAAAAAAAAAAAAAGCACTATTGTCTAGAAAGGATTATGCCCCTTTGCCTTGCCAAAGATCAGTCAATGATGACCAGTCACAAAAGTGCGTGAAGCCAACTACAGCGCAAATCAAAGACGTGATGTAAAGGACCTTAAAAAGGTGCCACTATACACATGCAGCTCTTTATATTAGATGAAATAACTTTCTATTAAGATGACGAGCAATATTTTTATGTTTACTGTATAAATACTGCACTGACAAAATTCCAGTGCTATAAAAGCTACAAATTTACATTTTCACATTGCCAAATGCCTTTTATAGAAGACAAATTGAGCAATCCTAAGATTGTTGTGAACATACCTCATTTTGCTCCAATCTTCTGGACCGGGATGTGATCCGAGTCTTTGATTTGCCCCTTATTGGTTCTCTTCTCTCAAAAGTAAGGTTGATCTTGGGTTCTAAAATAAAAAAGCAAAAAACAACCATATTTGTAGTTTGAACAAGAAAAAGAAAAAAAAAAAAAAAAGGGAGCGCTACTACCCGGGGATGCTTGTAAAATAATTCCATAAATATTTCCAGATTTGTAGTTTGAGCAGAACTATACTAGAGATGGTGCTGTGCACAATACTGCATTCTCACCTGAATTATTTAACTGCCAAATTTAGCAAACCTCAAAAAGTCTATAGAGATAATTCACTGGAAAAGTGTATAAGGTTTCAGCTTTGCCAATTTATATTTCAAACTCTTATTATTGCAAAAGTAATATGATTTTTGTACTTACCATAAAATCTAAGTCCATTGAGGGACACAGGAATTCAGAAACAGTTGGGTTTTACTGCCACCTTCAGGAGGCTGAGACACTGGCAAACAAATATAAGTCGGCCCCTGCATGACCTCATCTCTGTCCAGCATAAAAGGTAACCAAAGGAGGTGGGGTGGAGAAGCGCAAACAACCTGACGTGGAATGGTGATGGGATGTTGGGAAATATGAAAGTTATACTCACATCTGGGTGAATTCGGAGCCCGGGCAGTGTCAGTGGGAGCAAAAAATTTAACGGCTATGCGTTTCTTTATCAAGCCAGATGTCCGATCAGAAGAGCCTGCACCTCACCACACAGCACCACCTCCCTGAAATCCTCGGTCCCAAGACAACAAAATTCACCCAGATGCCAGTATAACTTTCATATTTCCCAACATCCCATCACCATTCCACGTCAGGTTGTTGGCGCTTCTCCACCCCTCCTCCTTTGGTTACCTTTAGTACAAACGTCGGACACCCGGTCCGCACATTTGAGAAGCAGCAAACCCAATGTCCCCAAAACCCCCCGCAGCTCCTCAGAGCGCTTACTCCTGGACTTTTCTCAACTTTCACAATTCTCTATCCAGCATGCCTCATTTTAGTGGGAAGGCAATACACAGGGCTAACAACAAAATGACTTGAAGTATAATCCACAGTAAAGTAGAAAATTCTTGATTACTCAATTGTCCATTGAGGGACATAGGAATTCAGAAACAGCCGGGATGTTTAGAAGCTGTCCAACTGAGGGGTGTGGAACAGTCACCAACAAGTCTGAGAAGAAGCTTGGAACTTGCAGTACCCAAAGATCTATAAAGCGCAACAATACAGTGCCAAGTCCAACCTCCTAGAACACTAGCAAAAAAACTAAGGCATGCTGGGTAGAGGAGAGGTTACACAGGGGCTTACCAGTGTCCCAACCTCCTCAACGGTTTCTGAATTCCTGTGTGCCTCAATGGACAATGGAGACCATTTCTACTGACTCAACCAACAGGTCTCCACATCCCAGTTCCAAGACACATACCAACTGCTTCAAGCAGTCCTTGACCTCCCAAATCTTTTTAGTCAAAATAGCAACCTTACAGGGTTTCCCAACCAATTCTGTCCTATGACTACTACTTGGCAGGCATGGAAACTAAGCTGCTCAGATGATCAGTGATTGGGGGAAAACCAAAAAACACAGACACACACCAAACACACTAAAGAGAGCATCTGTAGATGCCTATTCGCACAGGTTGCAAAATAAAAACTGTACGAACTAGTTAGGTAAATATATTGGCATAGGAAGGAATAGGGATAAACCACGCAAAGGTTTCCTGATCTAAAACATAAGATATCAACTAAAGGCATACCTTCATTGTCACTGTACTGATCAGGATCAGAATTTCCATTCTGGTTGTTACTGTCCGAGTTTGAGGTATCTGCTACAGGGGTTATGGATGTGACCGGTTGCTCCTTCAACTTCATCAGCCTTTTTTCATAAATCTTCCTAGTAGTAGCTTGAATGAAAAGGAAAAATTAGAAAGCAGCATAACAAGACAAGATAAAAACAAACAGTTTCTTAAAAATAAAGTCATGCATGTCCTTACTTGTAAAAGTAGTAAAAAGTTGTTTTATTTACCCTCACTTGGTGGGTAATACCATGGCCTGCATTTGAACAGTAGTGGCTACACCTGCCTCTTTCAACCAGGGTTCCTCTAGAGCCTTGGTTCTTAACTGGTGGGTCGTGACCCAAAAGTGAGTCGCGATCCCATGTTTAGTGGGTCACTGAATGCCTCCCACTTTTCTAGGCGAGAGGCTCCTCAGCCTTCCCCTAGTGCAGCACTGTCAGTTCTTGCACCAAGCAGCCATTCAAAATATGCTGCCCAGCGCTGTGTGTTGGCTTGAGGTGAGGTGGGCTGGGAGTATGGCCGCGAGGGAGCTCCACCTATACGTGCATTGCTCACAACTCCCTCACCTGTCCTATAGAGGTGCCTGTACCTTATCGACATCACATTCTGGCTCCCGACACCTCTACGGGCACACATGAGAGCTGTACAAGCAATGCACATCTGGATGGAGCTCCATCACAGGACAGCCGCCCACACTAGACCCCAGGTTAAGGATCCACTCCAGTTCTCTTAAGGTAGGGAGACTGGTTGGATCTTAAAAACAAAATACATGTTTTTTTGGAGTGTGTATGTGAGAATGTCTGAGTGTGTGAGATTGTGTCTGTGGTTGTGTGTGGCTGTCAAGTGTTTTTGACAGCCTGTTCACACTAGTACAGTGCATTAATCGCAGTTCCATGCAATCGCACCCATCATGTGTTCTCTTGTGGGAGGTGCGTTGTATTGCCATTCATTTGAATGGCACCCCAAACGCACCTCCCACCCACAGTTTGATCACCTGCACTGGGACTTGCGGTACCGCAATGCTGTGCGTTCCATTGCAGTGTGACTTGGGTCACAACTTAATGACCGACGACAAATGTGGGTCCTGGGGCTAGACAGGTTGAGAACCACTGCACTAGAGGTTCCCTGTGCAATGAGCAATTTCTGACTCTCAGAAGTAACCACTGATACCAATTATCTTTTTTTTTACTTCTGTGTAAGGGAAACATTCTCTACAGTTGCCATCAGTGTAATGGGGTCCTACTAACCACCAATAGAATGTGGCCCTTCTATCAGTGACAGACAATGTAAGGGGGTCCTTTTTCACTGGCTACCAATGTAAGGGGGTCCTAAACTGACCACTAATGTACAGGGGCACTTTTTCAACATTTTGAAAGAATACTACAAAATTTGCACAGTTTAATGTTTTTCATATATTTTTATTGAATAGCTTATAACTTTGTATTTAACAATGAGCACATACTTTAAAGCTGAAGTTTAGTTTCAGGTTTCTGTTAAAACAACAGCAGGGACATGCTTGCCTCTAAAGTAGGGCTGCAACTAATGAGTATTTTCTTAATTGATTAGTTGGACTATTTTTTCTATTGGAGAACTATGAGGTGGGTGAAAATCACTCAGCCTCATAGTTCGAGCAGACGTGTGACAATGAAACTGTCACAGGTCGGCTCAATAGATCGGGAAGTGAGCATACGGTCGCTCGCTCACTTCTCGATCATCTCCCTGCAGAGAGACGTAACTGTCACTCACGGCTCCCTGCAGGGACCCCCCCCCTCCCTGTCCGATCCTCCAGTGCTGACTGGCGGAACGGGAGGGGGCGGATACAGCTGGCTCTGCCTCTAGATAGGCAGAGGCAGCTGTCAATCATGCACCTGGGTGGATCTCGACAGTAATGTCGGGATCCGTCCCGGCTGCGGAGGTCTCAGTATACCGCAAACTGTAGCTCACGATATACTGAGCTTTGGGTCACAGGAGGATGCTAGTTTGTGTCCTCCTGTGACCCTGAGGAGAACTTTGGGGGAAAACACTTACCCCATAGTTCTCCTTTAATCCGATAGGGATAATAAATACCATCCCTAATTTAAAATAAAATACACAAATGCAGTGTTACAAAGTTTACTTCAGAATAAAACTGAATTTGCACAATTTTTCACAATCACACTGCACTGGAAAGCACGGCATTGCGGGCGATCACACTGTGGGTGGGAGGCGCGTTTGGCACTGCAACGCACCTCCCGCAGCAGAATTTGTTGAAAAGACGAAAATACCTTTCTCACCTTTTATAATTGAATTGTATAATAATTGAATAGCTTCAGGGAATGACCGTTGCCAGTGGCAAGTTTCCACAGATAGCAGCTGAATGTAAATACAGCAGGTAGAGGGCTAGTGCAATAGTGAGCCTGCTACTGGCCATTTCAAATTGCAATAGCAAGTTGGCTATTGCACCCACCAAGTGCTTGCTGTGCCCTCCTCCCAGCATGGAGGAGAGAGCTATGGGGTCCAACCAACTAATCGATGAGAATAGCCAACTATTCTCATTATCAATTAGTTGGTGGCAGCCCTACTCTAAAGAAGTGCTTCTGCTGTTAAAAAAAATCCAGTGTTGCTTCCCTTCCCTGCCCATTTCACAGAATTGTCCATTTTTTTCACATAATGCAAACTGCAATGTGAGTTGAGAAAGGGATCCCATCATTCGTCTGGCTTTCCTTTTTCTCCACTCACAGGGGAGGGTGAGCAGTTTCAGATGCTTTAACAGAAGGAGCAGATAAAGTGATATTAAAGTCAAAAGGATTTTAAGCTATTTTAAATGCTGATGAAATCACTTACAATGGATGCTGCTTCTTGATGTTTAAAAGTTTTATCTTCCTGTAGAATCAGCTGGTCCCGACTTGCTGTTTTCGAGTGACTCTTTTCGCAGAGTGCTATGCAGTCATCCTATTGTGTGCTGTAAGCCCATGTGTGTCTCCGCAGACACAGCATATCAATCTACTCTCCTCCTCCCTGTCCACCCTCTCCTCCTAGCTAGTAGATGAACAGTTGCTGTCCTTTGTGATCTTGTACTGGACAGGAAGTTCAGGGAAGCTCCTGCGTACTGGCTTTCTTCCTCTACATTACTAAGGGACTTGGCTGCAAAGCAGAGGTTGGAGGATAGAACCACAGCATGCAGTGGGAAGAAAAAAAAACATTTCCCACTACCAAAATGCGTAAGGGTTTGTCAGATGCTGCAACGCTGGAATGGAGGGGAAGTGGGAGGCAAGAGCTGCTAAATCAGTATTAGGCTCTTCCACTGCAGGGACCTGACTATAGCGATTTTTATTTGCTTACAGGGTCACTTTCAAATATACTTTAGTATTTTTAATACATTCACACAAGCAACTATTTAATAAGTATAAACACTAGTATGACATGATGAATAATGCAAATCACAAGATTTGCTTGGCAGCACTCTCCAATTTCGAGTATAGGGGGCATATTACACCATTTTAAAACACAAAGCAAAGCTACAGCAGAAAATATGTCAAATATAACGGACAAACCATACCCATAATAGGACCAGGTGTTATTCCATATTTAAGTAGTTCCCTTCTCAGAGCATCACTACTGAGTTCTGTCACATCTTGCTCAGTTTTTCCGGACCTCTCTTCTACATTAGGCTTATCAGTTTTCTTTGTTGCTTTCTTTAAAAGGAAACAAAAATAATTGATACAAAAACACAAATACTTATACAGCATGTATATCCCAACTTGAACACTGTCTGCACAAAGTTTGTGTTTCTATTGAACTTTCTAGCTTTACCCCCCCAACCCCAATAGTTTAGACATAATGACATGCTTGGCTTAAACCGCAGGTGACCTTCGCATACACATATTTTACGACTATGTTATGGGCATTAAGAATGAAACCTCTGTAGTCACACACACACCAGGGGTGTGCCGTATAGCCCGAGACATGTAGTTCCGGGCAAGTCGTTTTTTCACTGTTTTAGCCCTGCTACGTACAAGTAGCAGGGCTGGTTTGACTTTTTTTAAAACGAGCGCCGAGAGCGGCGCTGCGAGCAGGGGATGTGCAGTGCCGAGAGCGGCGCTGCGAGCGGGGCGGCGTGGATCGCCGAGAGGCGTAGCCCGGAGCGTGCAGTGCCGAGAGCGGGGCCAGAGTGCTCAAAACGGCGGGCGGGAGCACTGAGAACAGGGGGCGGGAAGAGTTGCGTGGAGAAGTGATGGAGCAGTGACAGGCTCGGTCATCTCCCTCAGCCTCTGTCGGCCGCTGCTCGTTTCTATCACAGGAGTTCTAGCACAGTACTGTGCTAGAACTCCTGTGTTGGAGGTGACAGGGTCAATAAAGAGAACCTGTCACCTCCAAAAGATATCACTGTGTGATCGCAATACAGTTAA